CAAAGTTTATCTCACAGTCACGATTGTCTAGTAGTGTTTTATTTTAAATTTTTTTTATACAAAACATAATGACTTGAAATTTGGTGTATGAGTTTATAAAAAAAAGGTGAATCTACGAAAAATATCAAAAAAATATTTTACACGAACAAACTTGACTAAAATACCTCTGAAAGGCTTCGAGCGTATTTTCGTCAAGTTTCTTTTCATGAATTATTATTATTATTATTTTATTAGGTGCACATTACTAATATATACGCACACTCCAAATTTTAGATTATTCTGATTTGTAGAAACAAAATGAAAAATAAAACACTACCGGACGAGCGTGACCATGCAATGAATTTTTGATGATGATGAGGGTAGGCAAATCATTGGTCATTTTCGCTTATATATATATATATATATATATATGTGTTACCCCTACTTAACATAAGGATATGAGTCATGTAGAAAAATATTTGTTACCATTTTGTGTCTGCTTTCAAATAAAATGAGCTTAAAAAGGAGGCTATCACAAAATGGGTAAAAATCCACTTATATTGTGAACTATGGTCGTCAATGCAGTGCAATCCGTGGTGCTCCGAGTCATTATTTTGATTGCAAATTAAAGAGGAGACTATCACAATTGCCTTGCACCAAATTTTGTTTGATTTGGTTCTTGCTTGAAGTATTCCTGAATTTGGGAGGTCACCGAAAAAAAGGATTCTGCTGATCGGCAAACCTTGCCTTCTTCAACCTTGGAATTTATGCTATCCGACTTTAGATTGAGTGCAAAAGTTTTACCAGCTTGTGGCCCTTCGTGATACAGTCGCATCTGATCCGACTTTGCGATAATCTGATGTATGTATTTCAAGTTATCGCTTTACGAAGTTCGAGATATGTTTCTTTCAAAGCTCTGTTTTCTATGGTTGAAGCTCATCTTCTCTATAGAAAAGCTTTGGTTTTGGGTCATGTAATGACACGTGCCATATGTCAAAATGACCAGGTCGTCGAATCTAGCTTGTGTCTGAATTTGAGCTTGTTCTGATTCCAAATAAGTAAACTGTGGGCGCGTGTAGATCATCTCGAGATATGAAAACACATCCGCCATAATTGGAAAATGGTTTCGTGAGGCTGCATCGCAATAGTGTAAAACCTACCCGATTGTGGTAATTTGGGCTCATAATATTCTTGGGAGGTTCGATTGAGCCCAAATTTGGTCTTTGGGGGTTTTTCGACATTTTGGATGTAATGGCAGTGGTCTGGTATTGTTTTGAAGCCCTTAACATAGAGATATAGTTGTAAGGTCTTTTTTCAGCATGAAAGAAACTAATATTTGAGAATTGAATTTTGTCTTGATTAGGTCAAAAATTATTTAAATGTGAAGAAACTTTGCGGACGTCCTTCGGGTATCCCAAGCTATCCTTTTCATATATTTCAAATCTATTCTAGCACTTTTCTCATGGTTGTTCAGTTTTAGGCTTATTTTGTAGTGTTTCCTTGATCTGGTGGTGTTTTGGGTACTGGTAGGACCAGGTTGTTACTGGTTTTCTTCTTATTTGTACCAAGGATATAAGTACATCAAAAATGACGTATAACAACATGCTCCGATGAATTCTGCGCTTTGAGAGAAGCGAGAATAGCAACATTCAGAATGAGATTTTGTTGTTGAAGTTTATCTTTCGAATCCTCTCTAAGACATGTTTTATTGTCTTTTAATAGAAATTTTTTTCTTCTCGAGCACCGGCGTTAGCACAATCCTTGAGGGGAGATCATGCTAAGCTTCTTTCTGAAGGGGCGACTGAAGTGGACTCTAGCGATGGGGGGCCTTGCTTAAGGGCTTCCTTCCGAATGCTATTAGAATCCCTTTTTTTTGGGGAGAGCGTGTTGATAGGGTACCTCATTAAGGTCTTACCATTCTATGCAATAATTCCTCGTAATGACCCAGTTAGTGGGTTCCCTTGGCAAGCTTGGCCCCGATCTAGCAGATGGTGTTCTTTGGCTATGGGGCAGACTAGTGGGTGCCCTTGGTGGGCGTTTGGTCCCAATATAGTTGTTAACAGTTGAGGGTCCTCTAGCGGAGTCAATCTAGTGTTGTAGGAACTTGATTCTGGCTCTGGGCCCGATTAGTGGGTGCCTTTGGTGGGCGTTTGGTCCCAATTTAATTGGTGGTGAATTTTGGCTCTGGGGTCGATTAGTGGGTGCCCTTTGTGGGTGTTTAGTCCCAATCTAGTTGTTAACAGTGGAGGCTCCTTTGGCAGAGCCGATCTCAGTGTTGTAGGAATTTGATTCTAGCTCTAGGGCCAACTAGTGGGTGCCCTTGGTGGGCGTTTGATCCCAATCTGGTTGTTGGTGTTTTTTCAGCTCTGAGGCTTACTATCGGTGCTCTTGGTGGGCGTTTGATCCAAATCTAGTTGCTGGTTTCCTTTTTTTTTTTGGCTTTTGGGCTCGATTTTTTCCTTCTATAGCTGACTGAGGTCGTCTTTTTGGTCAAGAGCTGCATCAACCTGTTTATTTAATACAAGTGCCCTGCCCTTTCAGGTTTTCACTTGAACAGGGTAGGAGTGGTGCCACAAGAATGGTTTTCACTAACTCCTTTTGTTGAGGCACTTTTATTCATGACTTTGATGTCACGTCCGCTTTTTTATTTCCATTTTACTCATGGCATCCTTTTGGGTTTTCACGATGCTTGGTTTTCTTTCTTTTCAGGGCACTTTTACTCATGGCTTCATGGTCATACACGCCTGTCATTTTTACTCATGGTGCCCTTGCGGGTTTTCACCATACCCATTCTTTTTTGGCTTTTGGCAGTGTTTTCCCATAGCATCGTGGCTATGTCTTCTTGAAGCTTCTACTTTTACTCATGATGATTCTCATCATGCCCGGCTTCTTCTTTCTTTTTTTGTTTTTTTTTTTTGAAGGGACTCCCTCTTGGAGGGGTCTTGCTCGGATATGGGTGAGCTGTTAGAGGATAGAGGTGTGACATAGCCGCATGTTTGTGCAGGGAGGCATACTAAGGCTGCGTCATGCGTGGGCGCATAGAACGCATGGTCGCTTTCTTCTTTTGAGTAGGCGAAGTGTCACCAGTGAGGCAGGCCATTTCGATGATGGACCCAAGTGTATGGGAAACATCGCCAGGAAGGCAGAACTTCTTTGTGACAGGCTCGCAGATAGGGAAAACGTTGCCAGGAAGGGGGAAGGTTTCTACGATAGGCCCGTGGATAGGGGAAACATCGTCAAGGAGGCGAAACGTCTCGAATGGACCGGTGGATAGACATGTCGTTATCTCAAGATGTGAGATGTTCCAGCAACGAGCCTGCTGTCCGGAGCGGCTTATAAAAGTGAAACGACATGAGATTTGAGTTGCGGTTAAACGAGGCGTCGCCAGGGAGGTGAAGTGACGGGAGATTGACCTGTGGTTAGACAGAGCATCATCAAGGAGGCGACACATTTTCATGGCTAGTCTGTGGATGAAGTGGCTTATAAAAACGGGGTTTGGAGGGAGAGTGGGGCATTTTTTGCCTTGGAATGCCTATTTCTTCGGCCTTCTTCCTTTTGTAAGGAGATAAAGAGTGTTTTCCCTCATGGCCGTAGCTAACACCGACGTTAGAGTTTTGAAAGGTTCCCATGATGATCCTATGATTAACGGTGAGCTTATGCTCTAGATCTACAAGTTTTGCTTGAGATTCTCAAAACTAAGTTCAAGGTTGTGCACAAGATTTTGAAGATCATCAGGCCTGAACCCAACCTCGTTCATCAGAAAATGATGATAGTTCGTGGTGAATTGCTGGCCTGTAATCCCTTTCATGGCACTTGGCTGAATGAATGATTTGGTCAACTTCAATGTTTAGGGCTTGGGCGAACTACCAACATGTCGAGCAGATGATCCTTTGCTCGGATATTTGCTCATTGTTGCTCCCTTAACGACCATCTTGTTCTTTTTCTTCATTCGATGGTGAGAATAAGAGAGGGGTTCTTTTCATTCTTTTCAAGTTCCCTTTGAAACAAATGATACTGCCCTTTAAAGAGATCACCGCTTTGGAAGGAGGCGGCGCATTTGGAGGCCATATCTTTGGATGAGAGACTTATTTCATAATGGATCTATTTCTTGGTAGCCACCGATAGTTGTAACCACGGTTTTGTAATCCTTTTTGTTCATGAAATGAATCCCCTTTTAATTTGAATCTTCTTTCTTGCTTTGTGGTTTGTGTCTCTTCTTTTCATGGTTTGCTCGCCTTTCTTTCTTCCCGTGTTAAGTTCTTTTCCCTCTTGATCACGGGGATAAGAAATGGGCTAGGAGACTTGCCTTGGGGGCATGCTGATTGACTTGCTTGAACGGTTCGAATGCCCTTTTGGGTTTTCTTCCAAACCCCTGGGGTGTGGGCCTTTTTCCGCTTTTCGCATGGGCCGGCCCTTTTTTTTTTTTCTTCCATCCCATTCGCGGATTTTGAGATTTGTTCAAGTTTTTGTAACTTTTTGACACATGTATGAAATGATTCTTCTTCTTTGCTTCTTATTATGTCTTCGCTTGACGACTCGCTTCCCTTGTTTATGTTTTGTGCCTATCTTTTATCCCCTGAAGAGGGACGTAGGGGATGAGCTAGAGGTCTGCTGGAAGTGATTTTGAACCATTCCATGCCTGACTTGAACGTCCACCAGAGTTTTTTTTTTTTGGTGAGATGTGTTTTAGGTCGTGCCTTCAAGATCGCGTGTGGAGTATTTTAGTGTTGTACAACTAGGACGTGGATAGAGCTTTTAAGGTCATTACTTACATTAGACCGAATTAGGCTTTTAACGTCTTCACTCTTGTTGGATGGCTGTATGGGATCTTTAAGGTCTTCACCTTTATTAGACTGCTTGGGGGGGGGGTGGTGGGGGCGGGGTTTGTTTATTATAGGATGTATCTTGGATCGTTTTCATAATCATGTATGGACCGCCCTCAGCAAAAAGAACTTGCATTGGTATGAAGTCGTACAGAGTAGGAAGAGGAGGAAGGACTACCGCTTTGATCGGGTGCTGAGGGAGTTTAAACTTGTGGCATTGTGCACGTAAGACCTTTTATTTTCCTCTCTTTTCTCAAGTGGTTGGGGCTCTTGACCTCGGGGTGCGGGTACTGCATTTTCTTGGCGAGCAGCCTCCCTCTTGAGGCTTTTCATCTTGCCACAACCATGAAATATTTCCTATGGTCTAGGCATTCCTGCAACGTTATGAAGAGCAGGTTTTCGAAGTGCTAAGGGCGGTGTTTTGAGGCTACTCGAACTTCACCTGTTGTGGGGTTTTGACTTCATGAGTTTCCTTTAAAGGCGGAGATGATGTGTTACTTATGACTATCTCACCATTTCGTATATACCTCTCCAAAACTGATTGAAATTTGAAACAATGACATAATTCGTGGCCCTTCAGTTGATGATATCGTCACCACAAGTTTTGATCTTTTTTTGCAACCTACTTCAGCTTCTTGGGTGCACAAGGCACAATCATCTTGTGATGCATCATTACGTCAAAGAGAACGGGGAATATGTGAGGAGGCAGTTCAGTCACTAGGGCACTATCGATCAGCTCCTCTTGGATTGTGACCATATGTGAAGCTTCCAAAGTTTTGAAAGCCTTCTTGAGGCTATCCAATTTGATTTACCCCTTTTGAATTAAGGCTTCGATGTTCTCATTGAGCTGAAAAAAATCTTGCACAGGGTGGCCTAATATTCGGTGATAGGAACAATAGTTGGCGTGATTGACGAGTCCTACCTGTTGTGGATTTCTAATGATAGGAAGATCTACCATGCCTTGTTCAATCTGCATTTTCAAGAGAGTCGACACCCATGCCTTGTTGAAGCTGTATGGCTGGTTCAGTCTCTGCTCGAACTGTTCGGTCCGATAGTAGCTTTGTGGCGAGGGTACCCTATTATAATTCTGTGTTTGAGGCGGCTGCTACTGGGGCTCCCCTTGACTAATGGGTGGTAACCCTCGAGAGGTATCTAATGTTCGGAGAGGAGCAACATTAGTTGTGGATTTAGGATGAAGAGGCGTGGCAATGACTTTTGCACTGACTAGGTTTATTTGTTGGCTAACACGAGGGTTAGATCTATTACCGACAGGATTACGAGTTTGAACTCCCCCTGAGATCTAAGCTTGATTACACTCGTGATGTCTTAATAGGCTTTCTATTTTGGCTGCCTTTGTGATCATGTCGGAGAAAGTGGTGGGATTAGAAGCATCGACATGTAAGGAAATTTCTTTCTTCATGTTCCTTACACATGTTTGTACAACATCATTCTTAGTCATAGGAATGGTGTGGCACATGGCGAGGTCCCTCCATCTCTGGATATACTCGCCCACTAACTCATCCATCTCCTGAGTCATTGTGAGAAGTTCTATTTCTTGAACATTTAATTCTGCTTCATAGAAGCACTTGTAAAAAAACTTCTCGACTTCTTCCTAGGAATGAACTGAGTTTGGGGGCAAACATGCATACCACATAAAGGTGGGTCCAATCAGATCTTCCACTAACTGCCGAAGAAGTCGTCTAGAGTCAGAGGCCAATTCTTCGCATGCTGACACAAAATGAGCTACGTGCGGCCGAGGCGAGCCCATGCCATCGAAGGCTGACAACCTTCCTTTTTGATATCCTATGGGAAAGGGGATTTGATCAATAAAAGCTGGGTAAGGATTTTTGTAATGGACACTTCCTTGTTTCTTTGAAGCTTGTAAGTCTTGGATGATTTTATTGATCATTCTTGGGATGTCTTCTTGTGTGAACACTGATGGCACAGTTTGAGAGGCCATGTTGGGTTGGTCATCGAAAAAGACAGGAGGGTTTAGAGGTCTTGGGGTTCGGGCTATAGGAGGAGGTGGAGGTCTCTCTTGCTCTTCATGTTGGGGTTCGAGAGGGGAATTTGCCTCTTGAAGGGAAGACACCGTGGGTCAAGCATCTTTGAGTCCCTTGAGCCTGTCCATGATGTTGTTTAACATATTCTCGAAACCAGCCATTGGGTTTTTAGGTCCATCCCCATCATGGCTTATTACCATTATCTCGACATGCTCGAATGGGTTGGGTAATTCGACAGTGGGGATGATTCTGATTCTCTTCATACCTCAATTCGGCGATTCGAGCAATAGGGGTTAAGCTTGCCCAAATTGAGCTTGAGATTGTCTCGCGACCCGGGTGAGCAGTGGCTCTGGACGGCCTTGGGGCCGTATTACTGTCGAGTCTGACGCTTGAAGGCCTTGGGGCCATCGTTCATTTTGAATGTGCACATGATGGCCATGGGGCCATATCTCTTCTGCCTGCTCGTGGCGACCTTGGGGCCACATCTCTTCTACCTGCTCATGATGGCCTTGGGGCCGCAGATTGGATGAAGTGAGTCCATCTTCATTTACCTCGACGACATAGTAATGAACAGTGCCACCTGTCCTAGGCTCTTCTGTGATTTGCAATGGAAAAAATCAATTTCATTTTAGTAGATCTTTAGATATTGATGACTGTACTTTGCTTTTGGAGAAGCACTTTCATCCCCTTCGTCTGTTTAAGTCGCAGCCACCGGTAGACTTTCTCCCAGAACTGAAACCTATTTTGATGTCCCTCTCGACTAGCTCACCTCACAGAGATGTGGGCAAAGTTAATCAATTCGGGCAATGTGTGGTACCCTGGAAGGAGAGAGCTTGGAGTTGATTTCTGCAGCTTAGGTCTGCTTGAAGAAGGGG